TGAGCCAACAGTGTGCCTTTGTTGCCAAGAAGGCTAATGGCATACTGGGCTTCACTGGTAAGAGTGTTGGAGAGTCATATTTGAAGTATTGTGTTCAGTTAGAAAGGATGTGGACAATTGGAGAGAGTCCAGCAGAGGGCAATGAAAATAGTTAGGGGGCTGGGACATGATTTATGAGGAGGGCCTGAGGGAACTGGGATTTAATCTGCAGAAGAGAAATGGATTTAATAGCAGCCTTCAACTACATGAATGGTGGTTCCAAAGAGGATGCAGCTAGATTAGTCTCAGTGGTGACAGATGACAAAGTAAGGAGCAGTGGTCTCCAGTTACAGCAAGGGGAGTTTAGGTTAGATATTAGGAAAAACTTTCTCACTAGGAGGGTGGTAAACACTGGAACATGTTACCCAGAGAGGTTGTGGAATCTCTGTCCTTGGAGGTTTTTAAGACCCAGTCAGACAAAGCCTTGATTGGGATGATTGAGCTGGGGAGGTTTCTGCTTTGAGCAGGGGGTTGGACTAGATGACCTCCTGAGGTCCCTTCCAGCCCTAATTTTCTATGATTCTATAATTATCTCTCATATGCCTTCTGCAGGGTTCTTGCACCCTCTTCAGAACCACTTGGCATTACCATGCCAGAAACAAGCCAGTGAACTAGATGGACCTGTGTTAAAAATGATGACTGTTCTTATGTGTAAATGATACTTAAAGCTGTTCCCTGAAATCAGACCGTACCAAACTATATTTTGCTGTATTCATTCCATAAATGGGAAGAAAATATGTTTTGTGAGGCTGCAGCATGCAGAATAAACAAACAATTTGAAGATCAAAACAGGATATGGGTGAAATCCTGGCAAAAGTTCCAGTGACTTACAAAGGGCCAAAATTTCATTATTTAAATTTAGTTTTCACTGTAAATATAAATTAGTGAATTAAGAGGCAAGTACAAGGACTTGATAAACAAATGAAATCCAATACAAATTTTGTTTTGATTATCATATGCATAAACTTTGTTTTAACAGATCTAGCTGCCGTTGTTATTACAAAGGCAGAACCTTCCAGTCTGGAGAAATCCTGCCTGTACTGTCAGGTTCCTGGTAGGTTTCAGTATTACAGTCCTTACTCTCTAAAGGCATTTTTCTGCTGGGAGAATCCTGTCCTTGTGTGGTTTTCCATGCGGAGTCAGGGTCTAGTGGCTTGAGGACCTATTTTAATTGGTATGGGTAGAAAAGGAAATCTTAAAATAGATTAAATACAATTTATTCTTTATTTAAGAAAGGACTTACAAAGGCAAATCAAGAGCTTAGTGTTGCCAAAGTTGTTAATATGTGATAACACATAAAAGCAGGCACAAGTTAAGTCCTGTATGTGCAGAAGCCTGGAGCATCTCAAACTATGTATAAACTGGTCACACTATTGTTCTTGGAGCTGTACGTACTAATATACCAGTCATGACAAAATTCTGAGGGAATCTCCCCAGTGTGATTCCACCTCTTGAAGTATGAAAAAAATTAGCTTTGTGGGTTAACATACCATGTTAAGGTGTCTTAGTGGTGAAATCCTGGACTCATCAAAGTTAATAGCAAAACTGTCAAGAACAGGATTTCAAGCTTGCAAGGTTTATAAGTAAAGTGTTTTGGGTTTTTTTGCTAGTCTTGATAATCCACTTTGGGATTATTAGAGTTGAGATGGGTTCTTTTTGGTTTGTTATAACATTTTCAAGACCAGAAGAAGAATGTCTTGACTTCAAAAGCTTGTCATATAGTTGGTCCAATAAAAGCTATCGCCCACAAAAATCCTTGCTTCTCGTCAGTAATAAAGATATTTTGACTGCATATCAATTGTCCATTAAATTGATGTGTGAACCAAAATGCAACTCCGCTCATTCTTCTCTTGCAGTATCACCTCTACAATGCTCCAAATGGCTTTTTTAAAAATAGGACCAAATCATTCTTTTTTTTTCTGAATTTCTGTTTTTGTTAAAGTCTGAGTATTCTCTTCCAATTTTGCTTGATGAGCAATTTCTAGACTAGATTCCCTCAAATTGAAAAAGATGACAGGATTTTATTATATTACATTACCAATATCATAAAACACCTGGTTCCTGCCTCAGTTCCAAAAAAGTGTTGGGTAGCTTCTTTATCTTTCTGGAGTTCAACATTTCTTATGGAATTGTTTAAATTGGGTATTTTTTATAATTCTGCATAATTATGAAATGCTAGAAAAAAAGTTTCATGCACAGCAGTTGTGTGACTTTTTTTCTGGAATTAAGATTATTTGTTCGCTTTTTTTACTCTAGCCAGTGTTTGAATGGAACAATGAAATGCACAGAAACTGCTACATCATCTGCAGGTGATTTATATTCTTGACTCCTTTTATAGCTTCACAGATAAACTGATTGCCATGGAACATTCATTTTCCATATTCACAGACATCTAAATACCATGACTGTCATAGCAATTTCTATTATTTAAAGTTATTTGACCATGACTTAAATGATCTAGAGGCATAAGTCTTATTGACAGTGCAAATTGTTATAGTCGTTCATGAGAGGTACCTCTAAAAATTCTGTTTTAGGTCACAGGCCAACATTTTAAAATGTAGGGATATAAAGTTAGGCCCCCAAATCCATATTCTGGTTTTAAAAGAAGCAGCCTGATTTTTCAGAGGTGCTAAGGAGGTTAAATTTCATTTGGACTTCTGATAGGATTTGTTACTTTCTGGGATTCCTGAAAAAAATTGAGCCAGTTAAGAGACTTATCTAAAGCATACCAAAGTGAAAGTTAAGACTCCTGTTGATTTTAATGGATCAGACCCTAGATCTTTGTTTAGATATAATTTACAGGCAGACAAATTTGAAACTTCTAACCATACTTAATACCTTTTATCTATATAATTCATAGATACAAAATTTAAAGTTCTACTTAAATAATAGCATCCCACAACCAATGCATGTTGCAATTTAAAAAAACTATTTAAAATAATTATTTAATTAAACAGTGAACTAAAACAAACTTCAGTGTAAAAGAGCATTTGATCTTATTTAATATGTATTTTATGTCTGAAGTTCGTGTGTGCCCTGAAGGAAAAACCTACTATGACTGCAGATATCAAGTGCCTGGTTTACCTGCAGCTGGTGTGAACTGTGAGATCTCCTGTGCAAATCTTGTTATGAACTTCAGCTGTGTTCCTCCCCCACCATGTGCAAGTGGTTGCATTTGTCCCCCAGGGTAAGTCACTTTTCAGTGTGTTTGGTATGTTCAGAAGGATAAGAAAAATGTTCCTTTACAAGGATGCCCTGCAGTATTGTCTTTTTTTCTTTTTTTGTTCCTTTGATAGCACTATGCCTGAATATTCTTCTTTAGCTTTGAAACCATCATATTGTTAACTTACTGAAATGTAATGAAATAGGTGGATCTAAGATTTTGTAAAGGGATGTGTGGCAGATGTGACTAGGGCTGCAGGGGTTGTTGCAAAGCCCCCAGTTTCCAAGGCTGGTAAGATTCCTCCCCCTGGTTCCCCCTGCATCCCCCCAACCAAGGGGTGTTGGCCTTGGCTAGGGACCAGCTACCCACAGAGCTGCTCCCCTTTGGGAGTGACCTTTAGGGGCACTTGTACTTATGATGGGGGTTTCATCTTCACTAAATTAAACAGATTTATTAAAATTGACATGATGTGCCTTAATTTGTTGTCACTGAGTACTAGTGACAGCTTCTCCTGCATCTGGATCAGCTGCGCAATGTGGTGGCAGGTCTCCCTTTCTTGAGCCTGCTCTATGCCTGGGGTGCCTGAAGATCCCCCACTAGCTTCAGATCTCCAGCCATACTTTGCCTTTCTTCCTATCTTCCATTCCCCCTCTGACCCCACCTGGCTTGAGCTCACTTCCTCTGCAGACTCTGCAGCAGACCCAGGTGTCCAGGGCTGTGGGGTGCTGCACAGTGGAAAGGTACATGTGACTAGACCACTCCCCTCTCCCCCCTGGGTCTGCTACTGTGTATAATGTTAATTTTCTTGTTCTTTTGAATGCATCCCTTAATGAGGAGCCTTATGCCTCTGTCTGCTGTTACATAGAACCTTGTGCATCTCCCATTTTGAGATGTAGGGTGAAACTCCAAGAACACCCTGTGTTTATCCAGAACATCTGACTAGATATGGTACCTGTGGTCTTTCCTTTAGGACCCTTTGACTGATGGATTGCAGTGATACAAAACAGCTTTCGTAAAGAAAAGAGAGATGCTGTTTGTTTAACCAAAAGAACAAAGCACAACATAACAGGATTTTTAAAACAGGAGGTCTATGTACATACCTGTGTTACTTGAATATGAGGCAGGCATATCTCATATCTTTCTGCCCTCTGGGGGCTGGTTTTCTATTTGTTCCCCTTAACTCTCTTTCCTGCCCTTGAGTGGCTGCCTTTTGAATCCAGCCAGTGTTTCTCTCGCTCTTATGCTTGGATAGTTGCCTGAAACCAGTTTGCTTAGCTCTGCAGGGGGTCCAGTCCAGGACATCAAAGGAAGTGACTCTCAAAAGGTTTACTGTAAAGTGTATATATCAGGATTCATTTCTTACTGCTGCACTCTTTCTTGAGTGTATTTCCTGGAAATCCTGTATGTAGAAAGCATTGCAGTAATCCAGTTAAGTATACAGGATTTGTAAATTATAAGTCCGTTCCAAATCTTTCGCAATGATACACAGTTGATTTAAGTCTGAAGGGCCAAATACATAGATATAAGTTGATGTGACTCCATCAGCAGAATGGTATCTGTTTACATCAATGGTGAATGTTATTACTGAGTTTGGCAAAGCCACTTCGTAAGTGAGTAGATCAGATCCTAATGGAGTTCTGATTAAAAATTTTTATCCTACCATAGGAATTTGTCCCAGCCCCTTATTCTAATAACTTGTAACACACCTAAAAGTCTAAGAAACAATGAGTACTCACTAGTCTTCTTTTAATACTACTATTTAAAGACATGTATGTAATGAGCCTCAGGCACTGCCTGAGGGAAGGGAAGTGCTGGAATGGAGCTAGGGGCAGATCTTGCCCTACTGTCCCCTGTTCTCCATACCCTGCACCTTCACTGCAGCAGCACTAGCTCTGGCTCTGGCTGCAGGAACGGCAAAGAAACAGTGGTGGTGATACACAATGAAGGAGCGGTGGCTGCTGGTTGGTGCTGCTGAGGGATATGTCATTTTTTTGCCACGGAAAAACTAAGGTTTTATTGGCTACTTGTTGCACGTTGGCAGCAAAAAACAAACAAACAAACAAAAAAAAACCCCAACCCCCAAACCAAAAAAACTGGGGCCATCTTCCCCAGCAGCAGTGAACCTCCAGCCACTTTTCCTGCACTGCACATCACTGCTGCCCACAGCACAATACTGGCCATTTACCACTCTGAACTTACTAACTGTTCCTGCCTGTTTCTCCCTAGGATTCATCTATGCTGCTCACTGGTTTGACCATTACTAATAGTTAACTTGTTGTTTAGAGCATTACAAATGCATTATTCCCTACAAGCTGTCAGCATGACACTTGCAACAGATCAAACTGTCAGGCTGCCTGAACAGTGTTATGAAAGCTAGCATGATATTTCCACCCCCCTCCCCAATTTAAAATCAAAGTTAAAAGCCCCTAGGTAGGATTACACCCTTCATAACTAGAATAGATTACTTGATCCTCCTTTTCTGAATAATAGATAAAAGGAGACCAGTCTGAAAAGCTGAAGTACAATTCTCTGTCATCATAACTTGCATCAAATCACGGGGGATCAAATGTGATGGTACTTGGTTTGTTTAATGAAAGAATAGGCATTTATTTTGCTGTTTATATGAAAAAACCTAATTATTAAATTAGTGCTCTTACTGGTATTAAATTATAAGTTGCTGACAGATATGGAAAAAACAAACAACCCTTTACCTGAAGAAGAAGCACGTTTGTTGGACCTGGCTTTGCAGCATCTGTATAGATTGGACATTTCAGCAGGGCTTTTTGGCACTTTTATCTAAAGCTGATTCGATTAGCTATTAGATACAAGTGCCAGCAAAACCCCACTAAAGTGCCTGATCTATACAGACAGGGGGCAAGCCTGGTCCAACTGATGCGATGCCTCTTTTGGGGTGTGCGCTGGGCTCGTCATGGGGGTGTCAAGTTCAAGATTTTTTTTTTACATCTGTAAGCAACCATGTTGTCCAAACATGAAGAGATCAGTTGGGTATTTTGTTCCTAAACCACTAGAAATGAACCGTGTTCTCTCCAAAATATTTGGGTCAGAAGTTTCTTGTTTTGCATAGAGAAAATGTTACTAATAGGTTTCCTGACGCATAGTTTATATGTAGCGAGCCTGAAATACAGTTTAAAAAAGATAATTCTCTCTTTGTGAAG